GTTGGTTATTGTTTATTTGAGGGTGAGTGTTTGATAAAGAGATACCGTAATACAGTCCGTGAAGATTTCTATTCCAAACTCTCACATATTATAGGATCATTGGCAGAAGTAGAAGCTGCGGCTGAGCGTTTAGACAGAGAAATGAATACTGATTTAGAATCAGATTGTGAAAATGTTATGAATAATCATACATTAAAAGAACAACTAGGATTGGGTCAATCTTCAACATTAAAAACGCCAAACAATTCAAGTATTGAAATTGATCGTTCAGCAACAATGAAAAATAATAAGGTTCAGAAAAAAATAGATAATGGTAGTGGTTCTAACAGCAAGCATTTAAAATAATTAATGATAATTTATGTTTACTTTTAGATTTAACAGATTCAACAAAACGATCTTTAGCTACGACGACTTTTGATAGTAAGATATACATTGTATTCTATACATGAAAATTGTTTGGCTTTCATTGCAGATGCATCAAAAATTTATGAAACACCACCAATTTCAGATAAGACTGTTCAAAAAAAAAATGCACAGGAAGCATCATGTAAACAAAGTAAGAATTATATAGCATAATAATTTTACTGGTATTGTTTCTTTAGATGTTACTTCTGCTTATCAAGCCCTACGTGATATTCAATATGTAACCAGAGATGAAGAAAGTCGACAAAGTGAAGAAACATTATCGTCATATGACGATGCTGATGATTTTGAAACCGATGATGATGACGATTCAACAGAAACAATAATTGGTTTGACAAAGTCATTAACATCAGCAGCACGATTGAAATCAACATCAGTTAATAAAGTTAAATCACACCAATCCAAACAATCTTCATCATATGCTTTAAAAACAACTTCGAAACGGTTGTGCAATAAACAACTTTTTCCTTCAGGCAGTGATGGTAATCAAGAAATAGTGACATTATTAAAATCATTAATATTAACAAACAAGGATTTAGCAAGAGATATGAAACAATCATTACTTGATATAAAACAGTTGTTTGTATTGGTCGAGAAGTTGGATGCGAAGCTCAATTTGATATTTGAAAACCAAAAAAAAATACAGCGAGCATTAGCAAAAAGAAAAGTAAGTCAAATTTTTTTAAAGAAGTTTTCAGAAAAAAATAAGAGTGTTATATCATCTTTTAGATTAATGTAGCACTACTTGGTGGTGATTTCGATACAGAAAATCAATCACAGAGTGATGTACCATTTCAACAGTCGCTGGTAAATTTTTCATATTAGTCTGCTTCCTTTTATATTTCTTTAATTTTAGAATTACAAGAAGGAAGATGGTACAACTATTGATTTGTTACAATTATGCGGCGTTCGAACACAGATAGGACGTTTCGTCGCTCTGGTGATGGATCAAGTTTTTACAAAACATGAACTATGCACCATTACAACAAGTCAATTGATAAAAGATGAACGTTACAACACTATTAAGGGTAGGAGAATAATAAAATTGATAAGTTTCATTATTCTGATATTTACTTTTTTTAGAAGCTGTAAGATCAAGATTCAAACTAAATGCGGAAGAAATAAATATGGAATGGTCAACGATTCATGAAAGTATACTTCAAAAACGACGCAACGAAAGTAAAAAGAAAAATGGTAATACCAGTGCCGTCAACAACAACCAATTACCACCACAATAAACAAATAATCATGATATTGTTCAGAATGATACAAAAGTTAATTTTAAAAATTGTCTTTCTGCCCCAGTTTTTTGTATATTAATATATTTGTGTTCTACGTGAAATTTTTTTTTTCATGTGCTTTTTGTGTATATTGTATCATATATGTAATAACTTACAAATAGAAAGAAAAATAAACAAATTATACATGAAAAACAATATTTATTAATAGATGTGGCCGGCCTAATTTTTTTCGATACAGCTGGGAAAAAGAACCGTCGGTGAATCCTGATTTACCGTCGGTTGACTGTGGTTAACCACGGTTAACCGTAAATTTCCCGGTTAACCACGGTATACCGAATGGTTAACCTCCCAGTTGACCGAACGGTTAACCGTGGTTAACTGACGGTTTTTT